AATCTTTTGTTCCCCTTTTCAACCGATGTGGGATCTCACTTTTTCTCTTCTATCAAGGTAAATCAGTCGACTTGTGATTTAGGTGTCGATTTTATCATCGATATCGTTTCGGATTCTATGCATCAAGGAGCTAACAAGACTCTAATTATTAGAATAAACTTAAATGATGAAGGGTAGTTTCTATTTTCTAGTTAATTTTAGTGAGTAAATTTGAGTGGGTTTTGAAATTCAGTCACTAAAACGCCAAAATCATTCAAAAATAAAAGGCCAAGATTTATGTTAGGAAATAGTGGGTTTTATGGGATAACCATATTTAGTGTTTAGAAAACTTATAAATACATTTGTTTTCCATTATAAGGAGCGAGAGCAAGAGCAAGAACAGCAAAATAGCAAGAGAAATTGTCTCCTCAAGTACAGTGTAATAGAAAAAAGGTTTTTCAGAATTCTTTGTCTCCTTGTCTCTCCCCTCTCAACATCTCCTTCCCAAGCACGCGAGTAGTACTCTAGCAAAGCGGTATCGGAGCGTTCGATTGTTAGTGAGTGTCAGATTACTTCACAGATTTGTGAGTGTTAGTTTAACAAATTAGTATTAGAGTCGATGTCGAATATGATGGGTCAAATGTTGTTACCGCGATTAACGAGTGCGAACTACGAGAATTGGAGCATCCAAATGAAAGCTCTTCTCGGTTCTCAAGACGCATGGGAGGTGGTCGAAGAAGTTTCGAAGAACCGATGATACCACAGGTTATACAGCAGCGCAAAACAAGGCACTAAAAGAATTATGATCAAAGGATAAGGCAGCATTATACATGTTGTTCCGGGCTGTTGACGAGTCGGGCTTTGAAAAGATTGTCAGGGCAACTACTTCAAAAGAAGCGTGGGACACTTTAGAAAAGGTGTTCAAATGAACCGACCGAGGCAAGCAAGTGCATCTCTAAACTCTGTGTGGCGAGTTGGAGAGCATGAAGATGAAGGAGTTAGAAAATGTATTTGACTACATCACGCGCGTACAGACCGTGACAAATTAACTAAATTGAAATGGAGAAATGTTACTCGAGACACGGGTCGTGGAGAAGATCTTGAGGTCGTTAACCGACAACTTCGAGAATGTTGTATGTGCGATAGAAGAGTCAGAGGACCTAGCGAAGTTCACGGGCGATGAGCTCGTTGGTTCTTTCGAGGCACATGAGCAATGTAATAAAAAGGAGGAGACACTCGATCAAGCGCTTCAGACCAAGGCATCAATAAAAGATGAAATGGTACTCACTCTCAAAATATTCAAGGTAGAGGTCGAGGAAGTCATGGGAATGGTCGAGATGGTCAAGACAGCACAAATGAATAAAATTATAAGAAGAAGAGACAGTCGAGCAAAGCAAATTGGCATGGAAGAGGATGCAATCAAGGACACGGTCAAGGATATTATTCCAACATCCAGTGTTATAAATGTAAAAAATATGGCCACTATGGGAATAATTGTAACTCCGATAAATGTTACAATTGTGGCAGAATGGGTCATTTGCAAGAGATTGTTGAGCCGAGGAAAAGGTGGAAGAAACTATCAATCTAGCCTTGGATGAAGCAACAAACGGAGGCATTCTCTTGATGGCTCAAAAGGAAGAGCTGAAAAAAAAGAACACGGCGGCGCGAAAGACGATGGCGATAGTTGTGAGGCGGTGAAAACTATTGAAAATGAGGTGATACGCAGCGGATTGTCGAAATCTTGATAGCGGAGACGAGAAAATCGAAGAAGGATGAACAACCGGATAACAGAGAGCCCGAGCTTGAAGAGAGAGAGCTCCAATGGCGGGAAAGGCAATTTGAGGAAGAAAGAAGAAAGAGGATGAGAGTGGAAGAGAAAATGGAAGTAGAAAAGAAAGACTTAGAAATGAGGATTGAAAGGTTAGAGTAGGAAGTGGCTGAGCTGAGTGAGAGTTCCTCCTATATCAAATAGGAAAAGGAAGAGAATGAGAAGGTAATCTCTGAACTTGTGAAGAAAGTTGAAGAAGGTGTGGAGAAAGAAAATGGCTTGTTAATAGAGATTGATGCTCTAGTGGACAAGCTAGTGAGGGAGGAGAAAGATATAGAGATCCTAACTCAACAGGGAGACTCACTCGACGTGAACCTGAATCAGGTCCAACAGGAGGCAGTGAATTTACGACACACGATTGAGATACTTACTCGTGATAAAGCTGAAATGGAGGAAGCAAAAAAGGAAGTGGAAAATGTCGTTGTGGACTTGCGAAGGGAATTAAGTAAACTGAACGAAGCTATGACGTCTAAGTCGAGCATGGCTGAGAACGGGAGAAATGAGGAGTTGGTGTCTCAAATGGGTGGTTCTTGAGAAGCTCCAAATGAAGTCTCGTTAGAAAAGGACAAGCTTAGTTTGCCGCTTGAGGACAAGGAGAGAAAATTGAAGAAACCACAACTGAGCTTCAGAAAACGAAAACGGCGCAGGTGGAATCGTTGAATATAGAATTTAAGTTTATGAGGGAGTTTTGTTGGAATAAACTTAAATGATGAAGGGTAGTTTCTATTTTCTAGTTAATTTTAGTGGGTTTTGAAATTTAGGTGGGAAGGAAAAGGCCAAACATTTAACCATAAAAGGTCAAGATTTATGTTAGGAAATAGTGGGTTTGATGGATAGCCCTATTTAGTGTTTAGAAAACTTATAAATACATTTGCTTTCCATGGTAAAGAGCAAAAAGCAAGAGAAATTGTCTCCTTTAAGTGCAGTGTAATAGAAAAAAAGTTTTTCAGAATTCTTTGTCTCCTTATCTTTCCCCTCTCGACATCTCCTTCACAAGAAAGCGAGTAGTACTTTAGCAAAGCGGTATCGGAGCGTTCTCTTTTGATTTTGGAAAAAAATTCTTTATCAAGTTGAATCCAGTTTTATTCTTTCTCTTTTCGATTGTCAGTGAGTGTGAGATTACTTCATAGATTTGTGAGTGTCAGTTTAACACTAATACAACTTGTCATAATCACACTTTTCTTGGCAGCAGACTTTGTGATTGTGTGGCACTCACTCCCAACACCAAGTGAGTCGAGCCAATTCATATTCGTGTCTTCTACGACTGGGCAAGGTATGCTCAAGCATTTGGTCCCGTTTTAAGAACAAGGTTTTAGAAATGGGGGCAGAGAATTTTTTTAAAGAGAGTTTGAAAGTAAGACTGAAAGAAGGTTTTTAAAGCAATGTTATAGGCTATAAGCGAGAAAGGCAACAAAACGACTTAGATAGCATATAATTTTGGGTAGGTAAAACTGGCGATTAGTCGCATCCACCTAAAGTACATTTTGAGGCGATTCAGCTCTGCAGGCCTAGACGTGATTTCGCCGAACAATCATATAAAATTTGGGTGGGAGGAGTTGACGAATAGTCGCATCCCCGTATAATATATTTTGAGGCGATTCTAGTTTGGCGGGCCTAAACATGGTTTCACCAAATAGTCATACAAAGAAAAAAAAATACAATAGTAGGCAATACAACATTATCAAATAAAGAGTTTGGAATGGCACGGACAACACGCCCTTGACGAGCATGACTGTGACATCCGACAGATGGAGGTCACTCCCCCCAAGCTTTGGTGAATTTATGGTCTCGAGGAAGGGTCTGTCAACTAACCTTCCATAGATGATTTTCAGATCAACATACACCATATTGTTCCTATAGAGAATACGAGGATGCACCTCAATCAGGTCACTGGTCATTCATTGCATAAGCAACGTAAGTTTCCAAGGTCAAAGAGCAGAAAATTGGAAGCAACTCAACAAGACAAAGGTAGCCTCCTGCTAACCTCTCATGATGATGAGAACAAACTAGCACACACCACGCTATCCCCACCAGATAGAGAGTTTTACGATAACTAAAGAAACCAATTACATACCTCTAAGATAAAGCAAGCTACCTAAGTCTAAGAATAGAAAAGTACTCCAATTACTAGAAAAGTACTCCAATTACATACCTTTCTAAGGTAGAGCAAGCTATCTAAGTCTTAAGAATAGAAAAGTACTCCAATTACATACCTTTAAGGTAGAGCAAGGTACCTAAGTAAGCTACCTAAATCTAAGAATAGAAATGTACTGCACTCTAGTCCTCTAGTTGTATAGTCATGTAGCAGTCTAGACTCTCAGAATAGAATAGAACTGCACTCTAGTCAGGTAGCAGTATAGGCTTTGCCCAAACTTCCTAGACCCAAAGTAAAGCCCATAGGCTTTACCCAAGCTTCCTAGACCCCAAAGTAAAGCCCATAGATACCCGAAGTAAATCGGATTTTCATCTTTTATTTTATTTTACTTTTATCTTTATTTGATTTCACACTCATGGTTAGTAAATCAAGACATTTCACAATTATTTATCATTCGTGTGGGTGCAATGTAAGTGTATCTAAAAAGGGTGATTTAATAGTTTATGTCAACATAAACGTACCATAAATGAAATAGAGTAAGGATAGAAGCTCCAATTTATACAACCCAAACAACTCGTAAATGTGAAAATCAATATTACAAAGGTTTGAACATGAGATCTTCGGATAAATAATGTATTATGAACTCAAAAGTTGAAGCTAATGGGTCATCAATACTTCAACTCTGACTTCATCTTCTTCATGAACATCACGTACGAAGCAAACCGATTTATAAAATCATCCTGTTGTTTCATATTTATCAAACCTGCTCCACACTTTTTTAGTTCGACATTTGGAGTAACAGATTGAATATAACTAAATTGGAGCGAGAATCGAAACTCAATCTCTTTACAGTGGTGAATCATTCTTATTATACGGTCACTTCGAGGCAAAGCGAGCATCCAAATGTGGTCTAACTTCTTCCTCCCTTTAACAGCAAATCCACCAATTACAATATTTCTATTGTCAAAATTTGGGTCATTGCAGCCTATTCCAGTCATAGATGCAAAAATGGCAAAGGCAACATCGACGTTGTCGTTTTTGTTGCTTGATCCACAAACGACGTAGACCGCAAAGCGAAGCATGTTGGCGTTTGGCACATCATGATCCCACTTGATGCATATCGAAGATCCCATTTTTGTCGATGTCAAATGTTCCTTCGAGTAAAAACGTCTTTCGCATCCAAGAATTGATCATTTTATAGAACCCTTTGTTGTTAGCCAATTTGTAGCAGTTTAGAAGATTCACTTCAACCATGAAATATGAATGGTTAACTTTTGAAGTGTCTAGAAAATCTTTCAATGAAATGCAGCCATTTGACATCAACCTTAAGATCCTTGGTGGTAGCTCTGAGAAATGAAGAAGCTTTTCGCACTCGTTTACGTTCAATCTTTTCAAGTTATGGAGTCGAGAAATGCTCGTAGGAAGACGAGAGAAATTATTTAGAGACAAATTCAGATTCACCAACGACACCAAACACTCGATCCCTTCCGGGACTTCCTCAAGCTTGCAATCACTCAAATTTAGGCTTGTAAGAGAGTACAAACCAGCCAGTGATGGAATCCCAAAAATGCCACTCGTTGGAGCTTTGCATAACCAAAGAAAAATGTTTCTAAAGATATTGTCTCCGTCGTCCGTTCTTTGTACGGTTTGTCTCACGTCAAGCTCCGCCGTTTCGGTGTCGCCCCACTTTCGTTTTCTATTTCCAAGCTTTGAACATCCCGAAAGATTTAAGCTTTTGAGAGATGTCATCTTATCCAACGCGTTTGAAATGTTGATAAGATTTTTGCAATTGGTTAAGCTCAACACTGTTAGATGATCCAAGCTTGCTATTGATGAAGGTAAGCTTGATATGGAAGTGCCATCCAAATAGAGTTCCAATAATATATTTGTGTTGCCTGAAAATTCTGGGATCTTCTTCAGCTTTGAACACCCAGAGAGAATCAAAACTTGAAGAGCCTTGATGTTAATTTTCGTTGGAAAATGTGTGAGGTTGATGCAATCTTTCAAACTCAAAAAAGTGAGTTTTTTTGCTGTGAAAATTGTTGGATGAATATTGACCAAACTTGTGCAACCTTCAAGCTCTAATAGTTTCAAAGTTTGGAGTTTTGGATAACTTCTGAGAATGACTGAGTTTGATATACTTCAGCTCCTCCAAATGCTGTCAAAGAGTAAAGAATGATATCAATTTAACTAAACATTTATGTATTGTAATGGCTCAAGCCCACGGCGGGTAGATATTGTTCTCTTTAGGCTTTTTCTTTCGAAATTTTTTAAAATGCATCAGTTAGTGAGAGGTTTCTACACCTTTATAAATTGTGTTCCGTTCTCCTCCCCAACCGATGTAGGATCTCACAATCCTCCCCCTTCAGGGTCAAGCGTCATCGCTGGCCTTCGTTCCTTTCTCCAATCAATGTGGGACTCCCATGGACCCAACATTCTTACTGGTACATTGCCTCGTGTCTACCCCCTTCGGAGAACAATCTTCTCGGTGGAACATCGCCCAGTGTCTGACTCTAATATCATTTCTAATGGCCCAAGTCCACCGCTAGTAGATATTGTCATATTTAGAATTTTTCTTTCAGATTTTCCCTCAAGGTTTTTAAAACGCGTCTGCTATAGAGAGGTTTCCATACCCTTATAAAGGGTGTTTCGTTTTCTTCTCAACAAATATGAGATCTCGCAGTAATACATATATGGGATTATTACCCTTTCTCCATGCCAAAATTGCTTCAAATTGCTGTGGCACATGTGAAGCACAATAAGCTTATATTCTTCAGAATTCAATAGCAAAATCTCCGAGGGATATCCTTTCCACTTCAAATATCTCAACTCACTTGGAATGCAATATTCCAACTCATTTTTCAGCCTCACATTTTGAAAATTAAGCAGCCTTAGTTGGTGCATTCTTGAGAGCAAAATTGGAAACTCCACAGCGTTTCTTCTCGACTTGAACAATATGCTTTCGACCGATGCTTCTCTAACCTGAATTCACATAATACCAAATAGAGTTAATGAAATTTTCAATGTTTTTAAGAATTTAGAAAGTCACTCTAAACTGATCGACAATATATCTTATCATGCTTTTAAAATCCTTCTGGCACCATAGTCGATCTTGAATAGGTTTATGACGAATAATTTTCTGACCCATTTCTTGCAATAAATTCATGCTTCATCAATTTATTATCATACAAAAGAATTAAGAGAGATTTTTGAATGAGACGTTCAACCCTTATTTTAGCATGAAAACCACAATCATGTCGAATATCTTCTACAAGCTCTCTTCTTGACAATGTCCTTGGAGAGTTTTAAGCAATCTTGCTTTGGACATGCACTCAAATTAAGGAGTTGTAGGGCTTCCTCATCGGTAAGTTCTTCCATTTCAAAAATTCTTTTCACTTCGAACTCATTTGAAAGTAAATCTATGTTTCTTGTTGTGATAATAATTCTATTGCCATCTCCAAAAGAGTCTTTGTTTGGAATCAATCCCATGATTTGGTCTGAACAATTCTCGTTATCTAGGACAAGAAGAATCTTTTTTCGTAGAATCGCTTGGTGTATCATAACGATCCCTTCATCAACATCCAATATATCATTTTTAATTGAAAAAATCCTTGAAAGGAGTTCGCTTTGTAAACATGGAAGACCAGAGGTTTCAAATTTCTCTTGATCATCGGAGACGAAGCAATGAGCTTCAAATTCATCGCGAATTCGCTCGTAACAAACCCTAGCTATTGTCGTCTTACCAATGCCACCCATTCCATGAATTCCTACCCAAATCACATCCTCATATGAGTTTGGATTCAAAACAGAAGAAAGTTTGGTTAGTTTAGAATTGATTCCAACTAGTTGGTCTTCTTTAGTGACTTTCAAGGTCGGTTTGATTCTTTTCCATAGTAATGTGGTAATTTCTTCTATGACTTCTGATTCATGTGTCCTAAGCCCAAAAAAAGGAGGAGAAGTAAATAAGTAGTTTTATAGTAAATCATAAATACATTGATCACTAATTATGGCTAATAGATTATTTACTCATGACATGATTTTTGTTAAGGAATAATATCATCATTTCAGAGTGGGTATAGCTTTAACCGTAATTGACATATACTACCTCTCTTTACATCGGGATTCAAATCTTTAAATTTCATTTATTATTATTAAAAAAATGACACAAATTAAACGATTGAAAAAGAAAAATTAAACGAAATGGACAACAATGTCGTTTTTTGTAATTTTTAAGGAACTTTCAAAGTTTTTAGTTTCTTATCGAGAAGAAACTTCATGGTACTCAAAAAGGAAGGAAAAAAAAAAAAACCCCCGCAAATGAGGAAGAATGTTTAGAAAAAAATTAGATTTTTCAAGAAAAATAATAATAAAATAATTACGAAATGACAAATTACCAAAATATTCTTGAACTTTGAGATAATTACGAAAATGCCACATATCAGAAAATCAGATTCGTGGAAGTATACAATCTTAAAAAAATCCCTCGAATCATAAAATCCAACCACTAGATCATCAGCAAATTTGAGTATGTTTTAGAGAACTCACAATTAATCACATCCAACAGCTAGAATTCAAATTGGAAGTCCGTAGCTCGTTGACCGGAGATGATATTTTTATGGATAATCCAGGAAACTCATTCTCCAAATTATGACGATTCTGGAGTTTTCAATGTCGGTTTAAGCTTCCTCTATACAGTCTAAAGTTTGGGCAATAGTATGGAACAAGAATCAAGCTCCCAATCGCAAGTAATTAGCATTTAGATTTTGGATCTTCTACTCTCATATTGCATCCAAATTCGATAGCAATTGTCCACCATTTCCCTTCAAAATTGTTAACTTCTAAACAAGATTACCCAGAAGTTCTATCAATAAATCGAGTGCTGAAAGAGCCCATAATCTATTCCCCCAATAAAGGTTGCCATTGAAGAACTTGAAAGAAAGATTCGAGGATACAAGTCAATTTGTCGGGTAAAATTGATCTCCGTCAGTTTTGGCACCTCCAAGGAGTATTTCCATAGAAGATCACGAAAAGAAATAACCTCAAGAACGTGCCCAATTGAAGAAAATCAGTTTGCGGTAGAATTTTGGGACAAGTATCAAATTTCCTCCTACGGTCCATTTCACTTCAAACTAAGTATTACTTAATCTTCAAAGGATTGAGTTGAGTAACTTTAATGAAGAAATCGGGAGTTTGAAACGTCCTAGAATGAGCTACCCAATAAAAAGAAGTTTTTTGTTTCCAGGTGAGTTGTAAACCGAGAACAATTTCTGGAAATTTAAGTCCCATACTCAAAGACGTCCCTCCAAACCAATTCCTTTAGCTTGAGGGAAGAATAAGGAAAAGGTTCCATGAAGAAGTCGGGCCATAAAAACCCTAGAATCGACTACCCAATAAGAAATCCTCTGTTTCTAACTCTAGTGAGAAATATATCTTCGACGAACTTTGGAGGCAAATATCTTACGCTATGATCCATGAGAAGGTATGAAATCAATCCCTAGCTCTTTCTTGTAACACCATCTTTAAGTTACATGGAGAAATCGAGGAAAGAAACATTGTGTATGGATATATATAAGGGAATTTTTCAGACGGCGACGCACATAAATGTGCACATATTCTTCCTATCCAGAGGAAGAAGACGATGACGTAGTCAGTTCAAATGAACTAAACTGGACACCATAAAGAATCTGTGGAAGAAACTTTGAGGTAATTCGAATACCGGAAGCTCAAGAACAAAGATCTCAAACATCAATGACGATGTAAGTAGCTCTTAGACTTTTCTTAAGAAATATTCGTAGGAATCACTTGGATTTCAGTATAAACCTTAAACTAAGTATGAAGGAATCACTTGGATTTCAGTATAAACCTTAAACTAAGTATGAATTAAGGAAATATGAAAGAAAATAGACTTTTCTTAAGAAATACAGGTAGAAATCACTTGGATTTCAGTATAAACCTTAAACCAAGTATGAATTAAGGAAATATAAAAGAAAAAACACCAAAAATCGCGAGTTAAGACCCTTAACCGATCAAATTGCTCGCGATTTAAGTAACATTAAAATAACTCATTGAATGAACTTCACTGCCTATGAATTTTTAATACTATGCATATTATGGCAGGTTAATATTATACATGAAATTTAGTGGTGGTTATTGGATAAGGTTAAAGCTAAACCAAGAAACAGTGTAAAATGATCATAGTGCCCCTAAAGGTAATCTATCTTCGACTTATGATCTAGATGACCTTCAAATGCTACACAACTTTGTATGAGATCTTATGTTATGATTTTTTATGATGTCATGAAGTTTGAAAGTAATTGGATAAGTTTAGGTAGCCAAACCAAGAACTAGAGAGTAAAATAATTAAAATATCGTTGGTACCTTTTAAGGAATTTCAAGGTTCTAAACACCCTTAAAATGACATTCTACTTTTTATGAGGCCTATTCCTAAGAACATAAAAGATATGTTCAAAATTTCAAGTTGATTAAAATATTTTTGGAACCGAGACCAAATTAGGACCAAAGAAAAACCTAAGGCCAACACCCCAAGATTTAACTCCTTTAGAACTATCTAAAAATTTATTATGGCTCTATGACTTTTTAAAATAATTCATGATTTTCATTATGATGGGTTCATAAGCAAAGAATGCAGGATGTCATTATGCCTCAAAAACAATAAGAAATACAAAAATTAGTTATGATCGAGACCCAAGGAAAGTATCACACAAGCCCTACAACTACGAAAATAAGGTATCACACTCTATGCCCTAAAGTTTTATGATATGAAAGAATGGTAGGTAATAATCTGATCATGTCCAATGTGACCCATGACCCCTACCACGCGGTGCTTTCAGAGATCCATGTATTCCTCTTTTAGGTGGGATGCCTTGTGCCACGGTAATAATTTTTAATAGTGTGGCATCGTGATCTTGACACGCTCACGACCAGCCTTGAGGAGAATCAAATCTCATATATATTTTTTGCCCTGACTTTGTGGCTTCGTTGAACCTCAAGTGAGGTTTGTCTTCGCCAATTGAATATCTCTTGTGCAGAATCCAAGTTTGTTCGACGACACATGCCACCTGCAAGTGCATGTTTAATCGTTGCAACACAACCGACTTGCCTCTACATTAGGCCAAGCCATTCGGGTCAACCTTGCCTCTACTTGAGACCAAGATCTCTTAACGCAATGTCGCTTCCTATCATCCCATCTTAATTCTCAATTAATTTGGTCCTCATCTCAAGATGTCATCCCAAGTCATGGGGTGTCATCCACTACCATAACTTACTCGGTCATGCCATCAAGAACGGGTCCACGTCTCGCTCATCTCATCGGGACATCCCGAACATCCCAAACATCCATCCATCCAAGTTCTATCGAGGCATTAGTCCTCTCATGCCCATCACATATCATTTACGGATACCGTATCAGATAGCGGGTGTCTAATGCAACCTCCGATACTCGGGCTGAGGCGCAATACCAGCACACTCGTGCCGCTTGGTACTATCCTTGAAAAACTTATTTCAAAGGATGTCCCTTGAGACACTCATCCTGGCACGCTCGCCCTCATTATAACACACATATGTGCCACATGGTAGCTCGCTTAAGCCATATGGCCTAGGGGTGGCGGAGAGCTAACACCATGCCTCCCCCTATAGTACATTTTGAGGAATTTCCAATTCCCGATGTCGTGGAATATCTTTCTGGTGTCTGATTGACACCAAATTTGGCGAGCATTCATATTTCATATGAACAGACTCAAATCCAGAACCGCATGCCCAAGTTTCTTTCAGAACCTTGACTTTTGAGGTTACGACCTAGGGCCTTACCCATCCCTTCAACAAGCTTATCTTTGCTACAGTTGTCCACTTGTTGCCCTTATCTTGCCTATGTCTTGACTTCTCTTTGATGCCCATAGTGTGTGGTGTGTTAGATGATATACCATCCTCCTTGGTCACATCATGGAACTTGTCTAGGCTCTTGTGTTGTCGGATGGGCACCACTTAAGGGTCACCGCTTCTCTTGTTGCAACGTGAGGCTCATAACCTACTCTCTTCATAGTTAGGTTGTGACGTTTTCTCTCACTTAAATTAGTCATCGTCCTCGATGACTTACTTTGAGGCACAACCATTGGTAGGTTGTGACATTCTCCCTCACTTAAACTAGTCATCGTCCTCGACGACTTACTTTGGGGCACAACCACTCATTGGGTTGTGATATTCTCCCCCATTTAATCTCGGCATCATCCTTGATGACAATCTGACTTTGGACTTGCTCCTAACAAACTCGCCAAAAATACGTGCTTCAGACCAAATACGGAATTTGCACACTACTTATGAGCTATCCCACTAACGAACCTTCACTTGGTCTCCAAGACCCGCAACATAAGCACGAAAAAACAACTACACAATGGTTGTGGCCTATCCCCTTTTTGGGCCTCCCTCGCCCTTCTATGGACTTGACCTGAGACACACCAGACAAACTATGACAAACTAACTAGCTTTGGCATATCTTCGCCTAGGCTAGGAAGGGTGCGCCCCAAGCTTTGGCCACTCTCGTTGTATTCTTTGTTGCAGACAACAGTGCACCCCTTGGGGGAGGCTCCAAGCCAACCATGGAATTTACTCATCATAGCACCAACCCATAGAGTAGCAATGTCTAAAAGCTCATATCACAACTGCATTTTGGCACTACATTTCATCCAACTCTTAGTCGGCCATCTTTATGTGGCATCGTTGTCTTGACACTTCTCTGGTCTTACTGCAGCTTCACTTCTCTAGACCAATGATGCTCACTTCTCAAGTGAATGTTAGTGTTAACAACTCTTGTAAAATCACCCCTTAAGTATGAGGCAGGGGCTCAAAGAATACACATGTGCTCACTTACCAAAGCACTCTGTCAGGGCGAGGAACCCATTCTTGCTGGTTCTCCCCCAC